TTCTTTTACGTTCGACAACGCTAGTGTAAATAAGGTTGTCAGCAATAAATTGCATAGAGTACTTCAATCCGATTTCGGTAGTTACTTATTTCATATTCGATGTGTGTGCCATATTTTTAATTTAATTGTACAAGACGGTTAAAAACATGTTAAGGACGAAATTAGTCAAATTAGGAATGCACTTATATATATCACGATTACACCTAGAGGAATTTTGTGAACAAGCTGGGAATGAGCATACAAAAACCTTTATTACTGACGTAGGTTATAGATGGAATTCAACTTACTTATTATTAAAATCATTTGAAGGTTTTGAAGCGTTTATCACTAAATTTTATAATAATAGACATGTTAGAGACGAAAACGATACTATTTTGAATGAATCTGATTGGACCACAATTTTTAAAATTAAAAATATTTTTGGCAAGTTTTTATGAGTCTACAAATATATTGTCTGGTATTTATTATCCCACTAGTTGTATGGTTCTTGAACGTCTTTATATAACTGTTAGGACTTTTAAGAGATATTAAAATGACCCCAATTTTCATGCGGTTTTATATTCGATGGAATTAACATTTAGAAAATATTGGGAAGAATTACCTATGTTATTTCCTTTAGCATGCGTCATGGACCCCTGATATAATTTATAGGCTACTAAATTTGTAATTGAGCAAATTTCAAATGCTTTAACTTTTAATATGCCTATTACTTATATGAATTTGGAACAAATGTTAACTGAAATGTATGAATTATATACTTCACGAATAAGTACACATATTACTCGTGTACCTACAATTCCTCATCCCACTAGTATAAACGATGACGACCCTGAAATTTTAAATTTATTCGAAAACATGAACTTATATGCATGTGGTTCCTTTAGTAGTAATAGTTTGTCTTTCATTGCATGTACTCAAACCTCTAGTACTAGTCCAAATGCGTTGACATCTGAATTAATTAATAACTTTAGTCATACTTTGCCTAGTAACAAATCAGTTAGGAAAAGTTCAGAAGAGTTCATTGAATTTTGGCGAAATAACGAACGCCGATGGCCAATAGTTTCTGCAATGGCAAAAGATCTATTAACACCTCCGGTTAGCACTATAGCTTCGGAGTCTGCTTTTAGTG